CTCTCCTTCCTCCCTTCCTCGCATTCATGCAGACAAAAGTTAATGTGGCTGAAATCATCAGACAGGAAAACACACACAGCGCTGTTAAGTCATCAAGCTTGACTGATGTCACTCACACCAGAAGAATTGTATCATTATCCATATCTACGTTAATTAATATCTTGTACATAAAATAACATCATGTGGTGTAAAGGTCTGTGTCATGTTCTCTGAAATAGCCAAAGGAACCATTCAAGAACGATTACCTCTCTAGTCCTCAGCAATGGGAGCAGTGCTGCATGGTGTGTGTGTGTGTGTGTGTGTGTGTGTGTGTGTGTGTGCGTGTGTGTGCGTGTGTGTGTGTGTGTGTGTGTGTTTGACAGGCACCACCTGGCAGTGGTTTTTGCATGAGCGTATGCAGCTGGTGATACTGGACCAGAGCCTCAGCTGCCACTTTAACTATTACTCTGTGTGTGTGTGTGTGTGTGTGTGTGTGTGTGTGTGTGTTTGCATATTTTATTAATAAAAATTAATTATGTTATCATAAATTTTATTTTACAGATTCTGATTAATTTAACACAAATGTAAATATAATCAGGATTACCTACCCAGTACATTGAAATGATTTATGATTAAGATTAGATTGGATTAGATTCCACATTATTGTCAATATGAAGAGTACAGGTACAAAGCGAATGATATGCAGTTAGCATTTAACCCGAAGTGCAGAAACACAGTGATTTTATACAGATAAGTTTTAGAAACAACGTAGACAATCAACGATAGACAACAGCTAGACAGTAAATAAACATAATAAATGTATTCAAGGTTGCAATCATCACTAAACAAATAAATAAAAGAAATTAATAAACGCTGATTCTATATCAGCTGTAAAACTTTATTCCTCTAAGTATGTCCAAGCTATTTTTATACTGCTTTGTTCTACATTGGGATTATAAATCTTTGTCTAGATAGAAGAAGCTGAAATTCACTGTGCAGAGGGCAGGAGTCATCATTTAGCATTTTCTCGATTCATCGTTTGATAACGTTCCTTAAAAAGTCTTCTTTTGTCTAGAACCCAAAGAGATTCAGTTTAATGTCATAGAGGAGCAAAGAAACCAGAACATATTCACATTTTAAAAGCTGGAATCAGATCATTTTTTGTTAAAAAATGACTAAAACTGTTTAATCAATTATATAAATAGTTGGCGATTAATTTAGTAATACTTGGATAGCTTTACAGATGAACAGATACAGTTGGACGAACAGAGAAATATAAATTGTTCATGATTTAAACAAAGGAAATACACTGGAGAGATTTTGAACAGTTTTTAAGAAACTTAGAAAATAAACCTTCTAGATCTATTTCGACAGCAGAGCAAATTGGAGAATATCTCTTATTGACTCACAAAGGGGACAATTACTTGGTTGTCAACATTAACAGAACTTTGCAGAAACCCTTGGCTGCAGAAACTTTGAGTACATTATCAGAGTCAGGACGCCTGTTCAAAATGGAGGGAATTTTAGAATTTATAACTGATATTTTATAATTTTTATAATAACAATGTGAAAACAAAGTGTCAAAGTTGTGTCTGGCAGTAATGAACCCACAGAGAATTCTCAGCCTAATCTGCAGCTCCCCGCGGCTTTACGGAGCTTCATAGTTTTCAGCTCATTATTTATCTGTCCTGCTGCCACTTCACTGTTCTCACCACAGAAGGCAGCTGTTTTTAGTGAAAAAGCTCTGAAAACCCACTGAACACTACCTATTCAGCAGCAAACAGCAGGGGATAAACTGTGCCTTGAACATTTTGCACTTCATATGCACATGGAAACCATTCAGAATATGACACAAGGATTTATTTGCAAGCTCTTGTTTTGATGAGAAGTAAACCTGCAGGAAACCGATCATGCTGTTAAACATGTCTTTAATATGCACCTTTCCATCAGTAATGAGAGACTTCAGATGGAGTGTATACTTGGTCACCTGCTGTGCATCAGTCTTGAACTCTGCACTGTTAATGGACTTAAGTGGAAATCAGTTAGTGACAGAGGTCAGAGGTCAGCAGTATTAAGGTGTGTGTGCGGGGTGACTGAGCAAAAACCGACTGTTTGATGCCATATGTTATGTGACCCCTCAGCACGGGTCCGGATGGCGTTGCAGATTCATTAGATAACATAAGAGCAGTCAAGGCAGCAGTCAGGGTTTGAGTTACAAACACCACAACTCAATATAGAAAACCCTTACAGTCTCGCAAGACAACAGTGATAAATGATCTCTGATTGAATTACTAACTGGTAATTATGTGGTAATTATGGTTTCGCATGGGACTCAAACATCAGTCTACTGTCTACCTCAATCATCCATCAATCTTGACAGTTGTATGACAGAATATTTTCAATTTTGATTAATCAGCATCTTATTTTTTGATTCCTTTGATCCCGTATAATGTTAGGAAGTAGTGAACATGCCCATTGGGATTTCCTAAAAACCTGACATATTTTAAATGCTTGTTTTGTCCAATCAACAGTCCAAAACCTTGCTTTCATAAAAGAATAAAGCACTAAATATTCATATTTGTGGAACATGGTAATATATTAAGAATAAAAAGATTTCCACAATTAATTAATGATGAGTTGGGGTGGTGATGGTACAGTGGATAAGACACATGCCTTTGGTGTGAGATACCTGGGTTCAATCCCCCTACATCCACTGACACATCCACCATTGTGTCCCTGAGCAAGGCACTTGACCTCTAGTTGCTCCAGAGGTGTGGGACCTTGCTGGTTAATTTTCTGTCAACTAGGAAAGGAAAAACAAATACACCAAGATCCTCTTCATCGATATCAGCTCTGCATTTAATATTATGTTTTATACCACAACAGCTGGTGGAGATGTTGCAGTTGCTAGATGTGGACCACTGGCACCTGCAACATGGTCCTCGACCTCCTGATGCAGAGGCAGCAGACAGTGAGGGTTGGCAGCCACACATCAAAATCCATCTCAGTGAGCATAGGCTCATGCCAGGGCTGCGTCCCGAGCACCCTGTTGTTCACCCTGTTAATCCATGACTGTACAGCAAGATCTAACACCAATCACATTATCAGGTTTGCAGATAATACAACAGTCGTGGGTCACGTTAAAAATAATGATGAAACTCCAAACAGGATGGAGGTGGAGCTAACAGAGTGGAGTGGATCCCACAGTCCCTCCCTCAACGTCAACAAAACAAAGAAGAAGGTGATTGACTCCAGGAGGCTCCAGGAGGCACCAGCATGCACCGCTGCCTATCGAAGACGCTGCTGTGGAGAGGGTCAGTCAACTTTCTCGACCTGACCTCAAACATTAACACCTCAGCCATTGTTGAAAAGGCCCAACAGGGGGTCTAGAGACGTAAAAGTGCAAGTGGATCACATCAGGAGCCAATTAGGCACAGACATGCAAGCAGGTGAAACCAAATGAGGGGAACAGACAGACCAAAATGCAGAAACACAACTGAACACTGAAAGATAAACTAAACATGACAGGAAACAAGCACGCAAGACTAAACACAGTCAAATAATAAATCACCAGACAGAGAACACAACTCAACACAAGGTTGACAGAAAACTAAATCTTACAAATTAACTACAATCAAAACAAAGATCAATACAATACAAACATTGAACAAGGAATGAACTAAGACAGAAAACCAAACTACAGGACTAAAAACTAAGATGGAAGGCAAGACAGATTCTAAGAGAACTAACCAAACTGAAATAATAAACAAGGCTACACAAAACCACAAACCAAGAAAGACAGAAAAAACACATGAAAAACAACAGCACAAAACCAAATCCTAACATTTTCATGCCACTTTCTACTTCTACTCCACCACATCTCCATGGGAAATATTGTGCTTTTCACCACATTTATCTGACATCTTAAGTTATAATTTACTTTACTGATTAAGAATTTTTGCACATTAAACATATGAATAAATATAAATTTAAAAGTTTATACAAGTACAGCTGAAATGATTAGTTGATTAATTAATCAGTCAAGTGACAGAAAATAAATTGCCAGTGATTTTAATCATTGTAAAAAGACAAACATTTCATAGCTCCATCTTCTCAAATGTGAGTATTTGCTGTTTTTCCTTTTAATTATTTAAATAAATTTTTCAATATTTTTAGTGATGACAATTATGGCCCTTTGAAGGGAGCGGCATCTTATGGCTCTGTTCCTTTTTCCTCATTAGGTACCACTTCTGTTGGTCACTGCACTACATTTTTATTTGTTGCATAAATAAATATGCAAGATTCTTCATCTGCACTTCATTGAAATATTTGGTCATATTGATGTTTATATTTAAAGAATAACTATCCAAGTTGTCTAACTCTATACAGACACATACTGCAAAATTTAAAATAGTAAAAGTAATTAGTAGGTATGCGTGTTAGGGAAATCATTTTAAGCCTGCTCAGGGAGCCGTAGATTTTACTGCTTTGAGAATTTTACATTTTTGATCATACTTGGCTGAAGATACTAGAACACATTTTGTCCCTCATCCAAGAGACTTCTTCAGTTCTGACATCTTCTGGTATCTTCAACCAAGTCCAGTTGCCCTTGATTTTATTTTTTATTAAGTACACGACATTGCGCTTTTATCCAAAACAACTTACAAATGCTATATGTGTCAGAGGTTAAATGTCTTGCTGAGGACACATTGGTGAATGTGTCACAGTGAGAATTGAACCCGAGTCTCTAACACCAAAGGCATGTGTTTTAGCCACTGTTCCATCACCACTGGAAGTAACACTACCAAACTATTTTTACACTGTGGTATTAGTAATTTTACTTATGTAAATTAACTAAATACTTATTCCACAACTGGTTGAACTGTTAAATCATTAATATTCAATATGGAGTGACAAACGCGTTTAGTTTTTTATTTATTTACGTACTTTATTTTGAAACATTGACAGGAAGTTGTAATATCCCTGCTAGCTTGATTATGAGGGAAAGTTTTTCCAGGCACCGCGCGCCTCCTCTCCACGCTTCAGACGTGCGGCCACATCAGACGGACACTTTTCTAAGAAACAACCGCCAAGTGAAATAATCTTTCTCTTCGTTAACTGGCGGGTCTTCTGTCCCAACTTTTGCGAACGATTATCTGCGAGCACAAGGAGGGATTAACCGGGAGGACCGCGGAGGGATGGAGCGGTCCCGTTAAAGTTCAAGGCTCAAGAGAAGCTGAATCTGTCGGCGGCCCCTCCGGTTCCCTGTCCCCGCCTCCGAGGCCATGGGCTGCGGCTTGCGGAAACTTGAAGACCCGGAGGACAGCAGCCCCGGGAAAATCTACTCCACGCTGAAGAGACCCCAAGTGGAGAGCAAAACGGAGACCGTGTACGAGTACGTGCTGCTGGACTTCAGTTTGGAAGGTAGGCTGAGATGATCGATACTGCCGCCGCGTTCAGACCAAACTCAGTTAAATTAATCTCTATTTATAACGTTAGAGACAACACTCCCATTATAGGGAGCTGTCATGTTTAGCAAGAGAAATCCAAATCAATACCGGAGCATATCTGGATGCCAAATGCCAAATATGTTTATTAAGTTAATTAATTAGGCAGTGGACAAAAAAATTAATCGGCGACAGTTTTGATATAATTAATTAATCATTTACGTCACTCGGTTAAGCAAAATAATAGGGCGGTTTTTCATCTGTTCATTCAATTATTTCATTCATCTGGGGAAAAAAGCAAAAAAAAACATTTTTTTTTACATACAGGCTTTCTGTAGACATCGTGTTTCATCTTAAATGAGCAATAACATAAACAAAAATAAACATAAACAACCTATGTCTGGTTTCTGTTTATTTTTCGTTTGTAGGCTACTGCCCTGCCATGCCATGAGCAAGATTATTACTAATTATTAAAAATGAAATCCTGACCCATTTTCCTTTTTTTGTTTGTTTTCCAGATAAAATGAAATAAATGAATGAACGTAAATGCCATATTATTTAGTCCTAGCTGTTCTTCTGTGTTCATTTCTCTTGTAAATGGAATACACTTTATTTGGATGTTGGACAGTTCAAGCATAAAAATTGGATCTGAAAATTATTAGCTGATTAATCGATCAACAGAATCTGCAACTAGTTTAAAAATCGATTATTAATTTCAGTCACTTATCAAACAAAAGTTCCAAATATTTCCTGGTTCCAGGTTTTCATATGTGACGATTTGATGCTTTTCTTTGTCATAAATAAAAATTTTTGACATTTTACATTGCGTCTTTTGACTAAGGCCAGGTTAATACCTAAAGGTCCAGTTCCTGAATCAAACAGTCCAAGCAATGTGGTGGAAATGACATTCGATTATTGGTCAACTCATCCAAATAGTGTTGATGCTGTTTTTTAACTTTCACATGACTCTTCTCAACAGATCACTAGAATATATTCTCTTTCGTTATGGCTGAGTATTTTGAATATGTCACTGTTCTTATGCGTCTTCTCTAGTAATTGAGAAATTCTCTCTTTAGCCCAAATATTCATTTAATATTAATATATAATATTCATAAGTCATCACTACAGGAGTAGAACACGTTAACCAATACGGGTGGGAATCACCAGAGGCCCCACGATACAATATTATTGCGATTTTAAACATATTGCGATGTATTGGAATTTATTACTTATATCCAACTTTAAATTGTGTCCCCAAAGGAAAGCTCTTTTTCTAGGGCCTGAAAAAGCAATTGATTTTATTATTATAGTGCCAAAAAAGTACAATTTATATAATAAAATATCACGATACTATGCTGTATTGATTTTATTTATTTTTTTCCCCCACACCTATTAACCAATGAAATGACACGTAAAATAGTACGCTTCTTGTGATTGGTGCGAATGGTGTTAAGACCTGAAATGAACATCAAGAGTTCGCTTAGTCCGAGACCACCCCTTTAAGGCGGACCAGAGAGCATTTGTTTGGTCTATACCAGAGTTCTAGTCCAGTGTTCACATCAACCCAAGTGGACCCCATGAGGGGGGTAAACACTCCAGGGTTCGGTTTGGACTTAACAAGGCTTGTGTGAACCGGCTCTACAACATTCCTCTTTGTTTCTTCGGTCTGAAAATGGTCCTAAATAGCAGCCACCCTGATAGTGCTTTTATTTTTACACAACGTCACATTATTATTCACATAGGGGCTGGATTTTCCTGTGATGCTTGTAAAGTGAAATAACTGTGTAGCCAGACAGTTAACATCCATATGACCATATGAATATGAAGTTTCACTTTTAAAACCCCTTCAAATTGTCTCTGACTACATGTGTGCAGTGGATAACTGGGCTTTTCCTAGCAACAGGGCTGTTTGCTCAGCCTCTCTAGAAATAGGTCACACAAGGTTTTTTTCCTGCCTTCGCCGGTTGCCCTTCTTCCCTCGGCACACATGCAACACACACCTCTTCCCACGTGGTAGGCACATACGCAGCAGAATGCAATACACTCCCAGAGAAAACCCCACCTGCTGCGACATGGAATATAATTTGAACATGTGTGGTAATCTCAGATGACCAAGGATTGCCATTTTTCAAGGATAATCCCTTCATCTGGTCCTCAGACTGGCTGTTTTGACTGTGACCTATTTGGAAGGAAATGGTGATTGAGTTCTGAATGGGAGCAGAGCATGTAAACAGCAGGCAGGCACTATATGGAGGAAAGTGCTGCTTTCCAAATTTGAGGGCGGGTGGGGGGGAGGGGGGCGTCAGGGAAGTAAAGTACGTAATCTGCCTTCTAATGACTTCAGGATTGTTCAACATTCAACATGGATCCAGTCCTGCCTACATCATGTAGTATCACTTCAAAGTAAGGCTGAAACTAATGATAGTTTAATTATTGAGAAAAATTGAGAAGATCACACATTTTCAGACCTGTAAACGTCTTAACTATTTAATTTACTGTTGTAGAAAACTAAAGCCTGGGACAAACCTGAACATTAGCTGAAGACAAAACACCACATAGAAAAGGTTGTTTCCTCCATCATGCACAGGTGTTTATAGTTTTTGTCCGCCAAGGAAGAGAATTGTTTCATCACTTTCCATGTAAAACCTCGATCAATCTTTTTTTTTTTTTAACTGACCATATTGAATCATATATCGTTTAAAAGCTTGTTTTCTAGAGCACAATGTTAACTAGTAGTTTATATATCATATGTCTATAAGAGATGTGCTCATGTGACGAACGTCATTTTTATACTAAGTGTGTTTTTGTAGCGTTAACTAGCATAATCGTTAACTGCTGTTTGCTCAAAATGACATGTTTCCTGTACGCCAAGTCATTTTCTTTGCCCTTCAAAACAGTTAGGTCATCATCATCATTTCTTAGGTCTTTTACCTAGACATTTACAGAGTTAAGATCTTTTATCATTCTCTTTTCATGTGGCATTTTATCTGTAAATATGTGGAGGGAAAAGGGTCCGTCTCACATAAGACTGGTGTATTTTGAATGAATCTATGACAAAACAATATTTTGGTATGTAATCACAATAAAACCAAAAAATATTCATCTGATATCAATATGCTGGAAGATGGATATAAAAAAAATAACAAAGGAAAATGGATATTTGTGATCTAAAAATCTGTGCATATTTAATGAGGAAATACCTAATTTGCCTATAAAAAACAAAAAGTTTCATTGTGATATGAGTAAAGTTGGGGAAAAAAGCCTACGTGACTGTGGTGTCTCGCCTTGTTATTTCAGTGTGTCAGATATTTAATCAACATTAAGGTAAATATAAGTATCGGATCAGACTCAACAGTGAGTGTGTTAGAAAAAGCTAAAGTGCCCTCTTGGATGCCTGTGTGGTAGAGATACCGTGATAAATAGACAGCCACGGTTAAAGGGTATCTATACCATCCTTTGATCGTGACATCCCTAATCTCTAGGTCACTGAGAAAGCCATGTGAACTCTTTTAAAAGTGCACAACAGTAAGTGTGACACATGGATTTGTCACATTTAGTCTCCCCACAGAAAGCGTCCTTGTTGAATGACAGGAGGTTTCTCTGTCGCCCAACAGCAAACGGGTTTACGACCCGTGACGGTTAGTGAACGCTGCCCCGCTGCATGCGGTTGCGTTCTGGAAAGTCTCTCTGAAGTGCTCTGATTCTCTGTCATCAGCAGGGAGTCATGGGTTCTGCTCTCAGAAAAGACTTGTAAACACATCAGACAGGGTGTGTGAGTGTGAGTCACAGACTTTGTCTAAATTCACCTTTAGACAAACTGCAGTTTATACCAGTGTTAGGGTTACTTCCATGCTCATGTGTTAGTGGGAAAGTGTTGTTGAACAGATAAATTGTACGTTTGTGTCGTACAGCTGCAGAGCAAGATTGCAGAGGCTGCTGGGTAACTTGGGGATAGAAACTCCAAAATTTTGTCTGAGTTGTTGGCAGATAAACTGATAAACTATATCTAGCTGATTTGTCCTGTGCCAGGCACGCTCTACAAAATTTTTGACTTTTTCACCCACAAATGATCCCAACACTCCCAAATGCAGCCACTTGCACCCCTAAATGTGCCCAGAAGTCTAATACATTGTCAGTATACGATTGTATATTATATGATTGGACCATCCAAGTTGCTTTTAATCAACGTAAGACAAGAGTAGTCCAATGCATTTTTGTGAGTAAATGGTAAAAATGCAGGTTAAATGTTTAGGCTTTCTTTCTTCCTGGATTTGTGTGATCATCAGTGGCTTGAAATGTGCAAATGTGCATCTGTCTAAGTGTGAAGGATCCATAATTGTCACAGCTAAAGTGATCCCACTCTCTAGTCGACATTTACAGTCTGACTATAGACTATAAATTATATTACCTTCAGTAAGACTGATGTTCATCACCTCATTTTCTGATTTTATTAAAAAACAATAGGTGTAATATCTGTTTTGGTTTAATCATCTCGCCAAATGAAACATGAAAAGACCCCCAAAAGGCCAAAACAAAGTGTTTTCCTGGCTGTAAAATAGATTTACACCAGACTGCATTCTCACTTCAAATGAGTCCCTGCAGGGTTCACTTCCCAGTTTGAGACCTCTTCCTTGACAGAGAGGATATTTGATGTGCTCCCAAAATCACTCGAGGCGTTCTCACCTCTCAGACGGAGCAAAGCCAGGGAAAAATAAGAATACCCAGTTAAATAACACTATTAATGCAATTTTCCTTCCAGGATTTTTAAACGATTCCCCCCAGGTGGTGTTTAAGTGGCCTAAAGTTGATTGATTGTCGTTAGAGCAGTGTGATTAAAAATGTATTGTGTATCAAGAGATTTGGAAATCGCAGGTTGTGGCTGCGCTGAAAAGGCCAATAAAGGCATGTAGCAACACAACACACAAGATTTAAAAAGGTTGTACATCTTTAAAGGAGGAGGTGTGGGGAGTTGGTAAT